GAGCCCCCCAAAATAGTGTTGGTAATTATTTAGTCCCCTATAGAAACTACATCGAGCTTCCAAACCTTAACTTCCCGATCTCCTAACTACGATAACACCCTAAACCCAAGCCAGGAGACCGCATGAGCAGCGATGACGGTCTCTCTGTGGTTGGGACGACAGATCCCTCCACCTGTCGGGGCTCTGTCTATGACGATCTTAGGAATGGCATAGAGTTTCTTTTTGAACGCTTTTTTCCGTTTGATGGAGCATCCGTCATCCCGAATCTGCGTCAGCAGAAAGCTAGCACCTCTCTCCACTCAGTACCACAGCACCACCGTGATCTTCACATCTGTCATCTCCATGTTCTCTAGACGCTAGACGACGTTCATTCTTGCGCATCCTGATACCCTTCCGGCCACTGAACCAAGTCACTCATCAGACCCCGAGCCCCTTTAAGACCTTCGGCAAAGATCACTTGAAAGATGCGGAGCAATGTCTCACCATAGGAGTCCATCACCTCCGACGACGACAAAGACCCAGACCCCCACTGACCATAGATCTCCCAGACAACTGACAGGGGTACACGTAACCGCCGTTCGACCATATGCTCTGGAAGGATGGTCGGCCGCGCTGTCATAGGATCCGGATCTGGTTCCATGTCAAGGTACTCCTGAAGGTGCCCCCAAATGGCGTTTAGCCCCCACGTGCGCCACATCTGAAACAGCCACAGCCACATGATGCCGTAGGCTTTGACAACTTCTCGATCCGTCTTCGTTCCTTGCTTCCACCGGCCATAGACGTTCTCAACGAAGACATGCCGCAACCTGGGGCGTCCTGGGGGGCCGAGGCCTGGCACAATCTCCGGCTGGTCACCACAAGGTCCCTCCACTGGTTCCGCCACGTCAAGCTTGTCCACCGCCCAGTACTAAGTCCACCATCAGGTTGAGGCAGTGTATCCGCGACAACATCCAGGCCTCGAGCGATGCCATGATCACACCCATCAGAAGCACCATCAGTGTCCCGGTCAGCCACGAGTGCGTACTGAGCCTGTAGCATTTCCACCACATCCTGGCCATATCTGCAGGAGATCTCCTGCAAACTGGGCTTGCCTTGGCGCCATGCGTCGAAGACCGCCTCATACTCAGCAAAGTCCAGGCTTTGGGCCGCCCCAGTGGCCACAGTTTGTTTTTCTCGCGGGCGGTTGAACGATGCATATTTGTTGACATGAGGGACCAGGGTTGACTTTCACAGAAATCCCGCAGTGGCGTGATACCCCGCACTTCAGGCAATAATTAAACGGTGCGTCAAAGCAGCACTCGATCGAGCCACATGTAACGTAGAAGCAGGGTGGAGGTCCTGGAGCCTCTGTTAGAGGCTTTCCTCGCGCATCTCATCCGGTGTTTGTTTACGTATGTCTTTTTTGGCAGGGTCCCCATACAGTTCGTGTCAAAAGGAGCAAAAGGACTAGCTTCTCGTAATTGACGGTAGGCTGAACTGCTCTCGGCCTGCAAGCGAAATGCCACCCAGCGAAAGGCTCGGGCTGTTGAGTTGAATTCTGCAGAGGAACGAATTGTCACCTGCTGCGCAGGATCTCGAGTAATCTCGCACCGCAGAAGCCAGCTGATTGGTGCAGTAGGTTGCTGGTATGTTTTAAGCTGGGCTTCTAGGAAGAGCTCGGCAATCAGAAATAGCATCGACAAAAGCAGGACCCGGAGGCTGCAGCGCTGCACCCGGAACACCTAAGAGGGATACTAGCAAGAGGACGAACGTAGGCACTCCCTATGCCAGAGTTTAGGGGTTTGAGGGGCCCTAAAGGTGAAGAACCCCGCATACTAAACGTTTCTACCCAGGGACCAATTTAAAGATGACATCGGGCACCCTGAGCCCTAAATCCTAAACCAAACGCAAGGTGTTCCAGGTTTGCGCTAACTCGCGACCCCAATCGACGTTGTGAGTCCTAACCTGAAAAGCGAAAGATCGGGCATCTCGGGTTGAGTGCCAAGGTCTTCCTAGATGCTCATCGGGTGGCCTCTTGCAAGCAAGTCCTGATCGCTTAGAGCACTCAGCATGCTTCTGAGAGAGAGAGAGCCTCTCCAGACGGAAGCACGAGCTCATCACGTCTCTGTGCCTCGCGCTGGAAAAAGGAGCCGATGTCCAGGCACCGTACCACCCGGCCCTGGACAAGGACTCCCTGGTTCTTGCAAGCGGAAGATTCGGCAGGCGGACCGAAGGAGCCAGCAGTTCCGTCTTACTGTCGCAGGCAGGAGCCGCCGCCTCTACGCTGCGAGACCCCAGCAGGAGGCATGGCACCAAGTTCCCCCAGGAAAATTCGTCTACAGAGCAGTTCTTATGCAGGACAGCAAGGAATGGTATCTACTGCACCGCAGTGAGATGTTTGAGGACCTTGAGGAACCCTTTGTCGCAATCTAAGCAGAGAATACAAGGCTTTGACCTTAGTTTCCTCGAAGGAACTGCCCTTGAACCTTGAGCCAGAGTTTAGGATTTAGGGCTTAGGGCTTAGAGTTTAGGGTTTAAGGTTTTTTTGAAGGGTTTCGGGTTTAGGGTTTAGGGTTCTGGTTTTTGGGTTTTGGGTTTTGTGTTTCGGGGTTAGGGCTTAGGGTTTCATTGCTCAGGATCTTCGGGTTCAGGCCATGGAGGTCACAGCATCTCATGCCGGAGCCTGAAGACTACGGCTTGGGTAGGGCTTTGGGGTATACTTAGGGTTTAGGGTTTAGGGTCTGTTATGATTCATATTGTAGTCATATCCCGATGTACTGTAGTCACTATCTAACCATAAGTTATGGTTAGATAGTGACTACAGTTCAAAGGGATATGACTACAATAAACTCGAAGCCCTAGATTAGGTTTAGGCTTCCGGCTTTTCACTTTGGTGTCGGATTCAGGACGGCTTGAGAACCCTGTGCCCGAAATGGGAGTTTCCGAAAATAGGGGACCCTAATATAGTACCCTAAATAATAGGATCCCTATTTTTAGGACCCCCAAATAAGGTACCCTAATTTTCTGAAACTCCCAAATGGAGTCCAGTAACCCTGCAAAGCTCGAGCCCTGAACATGCCCTTACGTGACCCTTACAAAACCCTGAGAGGACTCCCCAAACCAAAAATCCTCCTAAAGCCTGGATAGAAACCCCCAAACCCTCAAGCCCTAAAGCTCTTTACGCAAACATGTCAAGGCCTACAGCCATTCACCCCAAGCGCTCCAAACCCAGCAGCCTCAACGAGGTTTCCGGTCTCTGCAAGCTCCTGGCAGAGGCGGGCAAGAAACGAAGCGAACCCGTCGGAGGGCTTCGGGCTCCCGGGCTCCCTGAGCTTCGGGTTGGAGATGTTCGGGTTTAGGGTTTAGGGTTTAGGGTTTAGGAAATTGAAGGTTTTGGGATTTAAAAATACCTGCCAGTTTAGGGCTCCCACACCTGCAGAAGGGTTTTGGACTGCCTTGCAATGTCCTACGATAGGGCCGATAGGGATCGAGTTTCCCTGATTTTTTTCGGATGTCGGTGTTGTGAGCGTCGTCATCAGTCGCCCACAGCAAACCCGACGTACCCAAATCTACACTCGCCAGGAGTCCTACATACACTCACATAGCCCGTAAGATCAGCCGAAGTCATAAAGGATTGGCAGCTTCGCTTCTTGATGAGGGTCTCTCCAAGAGCTCCTATGGAAACGAAGTCCCAAGGAGTAACAAGGTAGGGGCCTGAACCATTGGACGGTGGTTTTGGGGTCTCTTACTACTATTATATGTTTATATGGGGTTTAACAGGAAGACTACAAGGAAAAAGCACCATGATACTGACTGCCCGGACTCCTGTATTCAGGTTTCGGGATATGTTCTAAGATGTCAGAGCTTGAGCAGCTACGACCAGGCGGACAAGGGCAAAACGTGTCTATGGTTCCTGTTCTGTTCAGATTGCGTTTGAATTTAAGGTGCTTCAGAACCCTAAACCCTGAATCCCCCGACCATTCGGCAGAGACGGGCCTCGCGAGTGATGCGCCGCTCGCCGATGACCCTGTGCTCCCCCTGATGCCTCGGTAAGTCCTGGCTTTCTCAGGGGATCAGCGGGCCTTGCTAAGCAGGGTTACAAGTAAGGAGCTCTAGTTATACCTACGTACGACCAGAGATTCGATAGATATGAGACCTAATTACTACGTCCGCTGTTCCGGTTTAGGATGAAGGGATACAAAAAGACTTGGGTTGTCGAAAGTATATGCTGTGACCCCGAAACCCTCGAAACCGTTGTCAAACCCCAACGCCCCAACGCCCTAAAGCCTAATATAGCAACCCACACAAACAAGAAAGCTAACGTTGAGGGGCCTTCATAATTGGAATAGGGTTTGGGGGGTCCGTTATACTATAACAACAAAACCCTTTGAAAAGCCAAAAGTGTTATCAGCTGCGATAAAACCACATAGGGTTTAGGGTTTAGGGTTTAGGGTTTAGAGTTTAGGGTTTAGGGTTTAGGGTTTAGGTTTCTAGGGCATCCTGCAACCCTGAACCCTACACCCCCGGCCCTGATGCCCAGAATCCTGGCCTGAGCTGCAGGGACGTAGCCGGCACCGGCTGCATACATGGGCGCGGCCTCGGCTTCGATGCGATACCCGGACGGCTAAAAAACTCTGAAGCCTTAAGGCTCTAGGCCTACCTGTCGTCTCCATTGTAGTTCCTTTTTTTGGTTTAACCAATTAGATATTAAGGATTTTATAAGGTATCCCCAAAAAAGGAACTACAATGGAGACTATAGGTAGTATCCCGAATCCCAGAAAGATCGAAAGTCTCGGAACCAGCGGCCTTCGGGCTCGGGGCCTGACGAATAAGCATGGAATCTTTCTTGCAAGGCTTTTCCCTGAGCCCTGTAGTCTCCACTGTAGTTCTCGTAAGAGCCGAAATACAAAACCACTGGTTACAGCCAAAATAAGGAACTACAATGCACTGTATAAGGAAAACCTGCAAAACCCCAAGCCCGAAATATAGGGTTTAGGGTTTAGGGTTTAGGGTTTAGGGGTTTAGGGTTTAGGGTTTAGGGTTTAGGGATTTTCCCCGGGTGCCGAGATGCAGCTCGCATTGGGGACACCGCCCGCGGAGACCTCAGGCCCCGCTGCGGCGACAGGGGTGCACCGCTCAGAACCTGCGCCTGCGGAGGGCTTCCAGGTTGGCAAAAAAAGGTTTGAGGTTTAGGGTTTAGGGTTTAAGGTTTAGGGTTTAGGGTTTAGGGTTCAGCAGCTCTTGGGTCGAGCAATTTTACAGGACTGTATCACTTTTGAAAAACACCCACCCACCCATAGAATCCCATAACATAGGAAAATAAAATTTATATTTACATAGTCAGTTCTATCAAGAAGTCTTAGCTGTGGCGAGACCTACTAGCACAACAGTGGTCATAAAGCAGTCGCGTTCTCGTTCTTGTGGCCCCTCTATCAGGTAGCAAAGGTTTTCTAACGTCTTAGCTTCATATGACGTTATGCTGTACTAAGAGTAGTAGTACTAGTACTAGTAGTAGTAGTAGTAGTAGTAGTAGTAGCAGTAGTAGCAGTAGCAGTATAGTAGTAGTAGTAGTAGTAGTAGTAGTAGTAGTAGTAGTTGCAGTAGTAGTAGTAGTAGTAGTAGTAGTATTCCGTAGTAGTAGTAGTAGCAGTAGTAGTAGTAGTAGTAGTAGTAGTAGCAGTAGTAGTAGTAGTAGTAGAAGTAGTAGCAGTGGTAGTAGTAAGGCAAAATTCGGGAGCGCACCATCGGCGCCTTGCGCTTCGCCGCAGCCGGCAGTGCACTCAGTGAATCCACCGACTCGGAGCAGGAGCACGAGCCTGATACTACCTCGGACACGGACCCAGACCCTAGTACAGATGACTTTGCCAGCTCGTACAGTGACCCGTGCTTCGAGCCTAGCTGGGACAGCGACAGCGATTTCAGTAGATGACCGGGCCGTCTGCATTTTCAACGACTGTACAAATGTGATGCCAGTCTCGCTTGCCGTGCCATAAATCGCCGAAAGCTTGCTTGCTACTGTTTGCATTCATCTGGGCCGTACTTGACTTCTGCCCACTTTGTTCTGCTTTCTTTCGATTCCCAGAGACACAGGACTTGCAATAGTATCCTTTCGATAGTATCCGATTCCTCGAGACACAAAAGCTACACCCCACCCCACCCTCGAACCATTTCCTTGTATTTTGCTTAACCAAGGGCTGGGGCTGGGGCTAGGGCTACGGCCGCGGCTACGGCCGGTTCTGGAGCCGGGGCTGGGGCTGGGGCTGGGACTAACGCTGGAGCTGTGCTGGGGCTGGCGCTGGGGCTGGGCCTAGACTGGAGCTGCGGCTGGAACTGGGGCTGGGGCTGGGGCCAGATTTGACGGTTTTCACAACAACATTGGTCCGAAATTGACGGTTTTCGCAGCAACATTGGTCCGGTTTGACGGTTTTCGCAACAACATTGGCGGCACCAACCCCTGATTTGACGGTTTTCGCAACAACATT